GTCGTGGTCCTACCTGCGGGTTAACTCCTGGATGCTTTGCGCTTATGTGGTACTTAAGAGTTGACGCACTCCGGTGGTAAGCAAATTCCTTTGTGCAGACATTGCAGATGACTTTGCTTTTATCAACACTTCCGTCAGGCCGTTTTTTATAACTAAATGAGGAAATCAATGACCCAGGCAGCGCGTTCTCGTCTCCCTTTTTCATTTTAGAGTCTAATCAAAGATTCAACCGTCTCTGGTCAAACGGTGACTGACAAGAACGGTTCCGGGTCAACGGTAAATATGACATTGATTAACATGGGTTATTTTTTTTAATCCATTATTTTTTCAAAAATTAATTAATCGAAATTAGCACGTTATTTTGACAGCCCTAATATATATATATATATATATATATATATATATATATATATATATATATATGTCACAGCTCCTCTGTTAGCCATCCCGTCATGCACAGATCGAATGCCAGACAGTTGGGTTTTTGTTTAAAAAAAAAAAAAAGATTTACTGTAATGAATGGTAGAGAAATACTCTGGTTAGCCTTCCCTCTGATTCACCAACAGCAGAGCTGGGGGCCGAACAGATTTTGTGGAATTGTCAGCCGTACCCCAGTATTTATAGGCCAACCAGTAGGGGGCGCCAAAAACCACTCATCACAAATAATTATAAAACATATTTTAGTGGAATTTAATCTACATCTTCCAGAACCCGTTACATATATATATTCATTTTCTTTCTGACACGCTTCATCCCATACCAGCAGTAGCCTGTTTGTGCTGTCCTCTGAAGTGAGTAGTTCTTAGCAATTTCTCGCATGGAATAGCCTTTATTTCTAAGAACAAGAATAGACTGTTGAGTTTAAGATGAAAGTTCTCTTTTTCTGGCCATTTTAACGTTTAAATGACCCCACAAATATGATGCTCCAGAAACTCAATCAGCTCAAAGGAAGGTCAGTTTTGTAGCTTCTGTAACGAGCTAAACTGTTTTCAGATGTGTGAACATGAATGCACAAGGGTTTTCTAATCATCAATTAGCCTTCTGAGCCAATGAGCAAACACATTGTACCATTAGAACATTGGAGTGATAGTTGCTGGAAATGGGCCTCTATACACCTATGTAGATATTGCACCAAAAAACAGACATTTGCAGCTAGAATAGTCATTTACCACATTAGCAATATATAGAGTTTATTTTTTTAAAGTTACGACTAGTTTAAAGTTATCTTCATTGAAAAGTACATAGCTTTTCCTTCAAAGATACGGACATTTCAATGTGATCCCAAACTTTTGAACGGTAGTGTATATATATGTATATGTTGTCGCTGCTGTCATTCAGGAGTTTCCATTGTAAAAACTGATAAAGATCAACTGCTCAACTCTTGTAATGCATACATTATGTAGAACAATACATTAATTTAAACAGCACCAATTTATAAATACCTGCATGCTTTATTAGCAAGAGCCTCATGAAAATATGCTCTCAGTGATTTTTTTGTAAAATATAGATGTAGATTCATTGTGATCCAAATAGGTTCACCCTGAACTGTTTTTGGTGCTTATTAGCATGACCAATTATGCAAACTACGTGATTATGTTATTTAGCAACTTCTAGCCACCTTTACGCTCCCAAAATAAATATATGCATGTTTCATATGAAGCTTCTGCATGATGCAAAAGGGAAACATAGTACATTTTGGATTGGGCAGTAGTCAATACACACAGATCAAAATTGCTTGTACACCTTGTTTAATGAACCTTCAATGGTAACAGAAAAAACTTGAATCTAAAAAAAGTTGTGGAATGAATCACTCAAACAACAGAGTTCAGGTGAGACGGCGTTCTGGAGCTCAGACAGGAAAAGTCTAATATTAATGTGAGAACACTGGCAGAGAGAGCACCAGGAACGTGGAGGAGTTGGCCAGCCTTGGCCCCTTTTGAAACTGCAGGTCATAGAAGTCTTCTGGGCAGATAGCGAACCAGAGTGGAAGAGGTGGCGGCTTGCTGGTGCTGGCCTAGAAGGAGATTTGAGGGGAGAGAGGTGGATCAAAGAAGCTGGCCAGTGAAACAGTGCTAGAGGGGGACAGGAAGCCACTGGCTGGGGCTATCTATAAAGGCTACCTGGGGAGAATCGAAGGAGGAAGGCAGTAAGTCTGCTGGGCAGACAGAGTACTGAAGGTAGGAGAGAGACTGTTGCTGGCTGGGAGGAGGAACATCAGTACATTGGAGAAGCCCAGTAGGTAGACAGGGTGGAGAGAGGCTGTGGCGGGACACGGACCTAACTGTGGAGGATCAGAGGAGGACAGCGTTGGATCAAAGTCTGCCAGGCAGAAAGGGCACCAGGGCAGGGGAAAGGCACTACCTGGCTATTGTCTGGAGATAGGATGTCACAAGAGGAAGGACGATGAAAAAGTCCTTCTAGGGATAAATTTAAATGCCTTTTTTAAAAGCAACCTATAAACCTCCTAATAGCATTCTCCACCTCATTGTTTGTCAAAAAGATCTTCCATTTTAATTTTAGAGAAGAAGGTGTACCTCATTCACTGTAGGTCACAGCCACATGAATGCAAACAACAGATATATTTTTTTAAAACTCCTGTGAATTTCACTTTGCATACTTTGTAATCAATGTACTTTCGCCAAATTTGCTAATGTTGCTTCATCTGTCATGATCTGGCTTGATTCCTCCACTTTAATTGCTTATTTCTTCTACCTGCCGTGTCCCCCCCCCCCCCAGCCTTAATTATCATTTATTCCTCACAACTGTTTCCTTTGTTCTATATTCTGTTCAGCCTAAGCTTTCGGGTCCAGTGCTCCAGAGCCGCACTCTACATAGGGATGAAATCGAAATCCTTCTCTTCATGTTGTAGTCGCTTTATTAAAGATCCAGAATAATCCAGGAAAGATTAGGAAACATCTAAATATAACCAGATAGCATAAGAGAAATAATAACCAGTTTTGCCAATGTTCAATCTTATAGATTTCTGAGCTTTGTTCCCAGAGCTTTTGTTTTTTTTTTTATTAGATTTGTTAACCATTCTGTCGTACCTGTCAGCTCCTACCAGTGAAAATTCCTCTACAGGTCTCAAACATAACTAACAACCAATCTCTGCATGAAGTCCCTTACAGGAACGAAATACTTTTATGAATTTTCCCAAAATTCGAAAATATTAAAGCCTGCGATAAGTGCAGTGCTGCCTGGATGTCCTTGCTAATATGAGTAGTTTATATCAGACATTGAACTTGACATTAATAAGACCTTTTGTTTACTCTGGCTACCTAACCTATTTTTCCAACTTTACTATTACTCACCAACAGCTTGTTTAAGCTGCAATCTTTTCTGCTCTTTTGGCTGTTCCTGCCATTGATAACCATAAAAAAACAACATTGGGCCTCATGCAGCATTTTCGTATTCCTGTCGTAAATTTCTCTTTTTCTTTCTTACTATTGGGCTTTTACGAATGTGCCATATCAAACTCACCAAACGTTTTTAACATCAGTAAATGATCTTAATTATTTTCCTAGACCTGATGCAGTCCGCTTTTGCGTAAGTGACCGTGCATTTCCAAGAAAAGTACATCTGCATATGTATCACCCCAGTAATCCATATAACTTCCCACACCTCTGTGTTCATTCATATGCATTGAAGAAAATCTTCGGGTTCGGAGAGCGAAGTTCTGCTGACTGAGAGTTCAGTTAAAGGACCACTAAAAAGCCAAGGGCGGGTAATAGATTATAAGAACTAAAAATGACTAGAAGTAAATAAATATACATATATATTAAAAGAAAAATAATTTCACGAAAAAATTGTCAATAATTAAAATAAAACAACTTATATAAATGCTTAATATGAGTTCACAATCAACCAACATGGCACGTCATTCTGTTAAATCTTTTAACACACACACACACGTGTGTTCTGTAAATCCCCAGGACACGTCTGTCATCCCTTCATGCTCTATCTCTCTCAAACAACACACAATCATAAAAATGTTAAAAATAAAACTAAGTTTGGATAAAGCTGACTGATTATGCAAAGCTCCTATGTAAATTCTGGAGTACCCGCAAAATTTGTTTGTACCTGAAAGAAGTTTGTACTTCTTGTACAAACAAGCTAATAACAAATTTGTTCCTATGAATGCTTCTTGAGTGAGGCCCATTGATCAGCTTGCTTTAAATACAAAGTGACATTCTTGCGGTGCATTACATGGACTATTTATGCTTAAATGTGGGTGTAAAGAGGGCCAGAGATCAGAGGAAGTCTTAGCTGTGATGTATAAAGGAAAATTGCCTGCTTTTGTGCATGCACATGGGTATATAAATCTTATTTGTTTTAACCATACCCTAACCATTTTCAGACATTTGCCATACATAAACTTCTAGTATTTATCCTATGCATTGTTTTATTTAAGAGACCACAGTGGGCTTCCTGTCACTGAACTTCCTTGATACATGCTCCTGGAAAGATCCAGGGTGGTGGGCTGCAGGTGGATCTATTGTTGATGCTCTGTCACGCCCAGTTAAGGATATTTCTACAAAATAATTTAGCCTGCAGATAGTATATTTCACTAAAAATTGGAAATGTTTCATTTTGTTTTCCAACTTTTAAAACTGTAGACTACTTTGTGTATATGTATACCTCCCACAAATTAGATAAGTGTGGATTTCTTAAGATATAATGTGAAACGGTTAATTGTAGAGGTGTCAAACTCCAGTCTTTAAGGACCTGTTTCTTTCACCTTTTAGAAGCGTCTTTGTTCAACACACCTGAACCAAATAATCAGCTATCAGCACAAACTGCATGCTGAAGAGTTAATTAAGCTATTTGATTCAGATGTGTTGGATCCTGGACATTTCTATTGAGTCTGACACCCATGGTTTATAGTATATGAGTGGTTTTGTAAATTAATGTAAGTCATCTGATTGCATGGTAATTGATATGTTTACTTTTTTATTGGTTGGTGCAATTTAGACTAATTTTGTTTATTTGCTTTATTCCAGTATGTGCAGTCACAGAAGAAGGATTGCTGGGATCCTCAGTGTGATTGTGTTAATAATCGCCTCAATTTCCTTGTATTCAAGGTTTGTACCAATTTCTAAGATACCTGTTTTAGGATTTTAATATCAGAGGTTTTTAATGATAGTATGATAGATAGTTTTAACAAAATTTATTTTTTTTATTTTATTTTTTTATAATAATCATTCTTTCAATACTAGGCATCTAACTACCATTGCCCTCACTGAAGAACTTCATGCACTCAGGGAAGAAAAACCACTAAACATTATTGATTTGGATTCCGCAATTAACTTTGGGTAAGAGATCCTAAAAGAAAGGTGTATGTAGTTTGCAAAGTGCTCAGTTTTTTTCTACTTATTTTATGACCAATGAAAGGGCATTGGCTTTGATTGTCAAATAAA